GCCCGCACCCCGAGATGCTGGAGGCCCTAGTGCACACGGGGGGGATGCCCGCACCCCGAGATGCTGGAGGCCCTAGTGCACATGGACGGGATGCCATGGGCTCCTTGCGCTGGTTCCTTCAAGCTTGTTTTTGGAACTGGGCTGTACCTGTCTCCTCAGCCAGGTTTTTAATCTCTGCCTTTGATTGTCTAATCTTGAGCTGATTTCATGTTGTTTATTTCACTTCTCTCTTCTCCTTCCCAGTTAAAGGGAAAATGAGAAATGACAGTGCCTGGGGGCCAGGAATGCAGTCATGTTGCGCTTACTTGGGGAGCCTGTGAGCCTCTGTTCTCCCTCTAAATCTTCCCTGGGTCCAGCGGTGTCTTCTGTGGCCCCCAAGGAGGTAAAGGCCAGGCAGGGTGGTGCTGGGGGTGGGGGTCTGGAGCCCGAGAGATCTGTGTTCAAATCCTCAGGGAGTGGGATTACCCGTAAAATGCCTACAAATTGGTTAGGAGCAGGTTTCTGCTCTGCTGTAATCGATTACCCTGAGACGGTGGGGGTGTTGGAGACTGAAGAGGGCAACAGTGGCCCTGAGCTCACTATGAGGCTGGGGGAGCCAGAGTCAACCCTGGGTCTGGCTCTGCCGCCCTCCCACCCATTCCAGTGGCAGCCTTGGTGATGGCTGCTGCCAGGGATGTCTCTGGTCCTAGGAAAGCGGGGGGCTCTGGGTGGCCTTCTCCTTCTGACCTGGATTGTGAGAGATCCACATCTAAGGGACCACTGACTGTGTCCCCCTTCCCTCTGTCCAGGACGGTTGGGGATGGGGCCTGGTTACTGCCCCATCTCTCCCAGCCTGCAGCTCCCTCACCTGCTGTTTTCTGGCCCAAAGTCGTTTCACTATTTAGGAAAGGAGAGAGAGAAAAAAGAAAAATTTAAACATCTTTAGCTAATTGCAGGTGACAGGACAAAGACAGTTTGACTTTCTGTTATTAATTAGCAATCCCATGCAAATTAGTAAGCATAATTCATGCTTTTTTCTTTTCTTTTTTTTTTTTTTAAAGATTTTATTTATTTTTTTATTTTTTCCCCCCAAAGCCCCAGTGGATAGTTGTGTGTCGTAGCTGCACATCCTTCTAGTTGCTGCATGTGGGACTCGGCCCCAGGATGAACGGAGAAGTGG